TCGTTCATATTTTGAAAATGGCGTTTCTTTGAAAACTGTCCTATAAGACGTGGTGTAATAAATAACATTATATTAAATTCTAGTAGTTGTATCAGATTTTTCCAGTTGTTTTGCTCAAAGTAAAAAATTATTTCCTAAAACTAAATGTTTTCATTACATTGTAGGATTAGTGTTAGCCACGATTAAAAATTTGACTATGTTATTTAGATGTAACTGAGAAATTGAGCTAGATGCTGCTAGATATGAAGAACGTGGAGCCAGATTTTAACTTCTATAATCATTTTTGTTTCGTTAAGTTTTATACTATGGATACAGGATGTAACATAAATATGGAACCGCTTAAATATTTACAACTGTCCATAGCGATCTGTGCTGGAATTATACTGAATCATACGTAAAAGATATAAAAACATAAATTCATTAAATTATTCATGAAAATATTGTTCTGAAGATTTCACGTTCAGTAACTATTTTCTTTCAACAAAATAAAATGCTTTTTTGATAGTGGAATTAAAAGAACCCATTTGGACATAAAACAATGGCAACTGATGATTCTAGATCATTTAGAATATTTAGTTAGCTAACACAAAATAATAAAAACTATTTTCTGGAGAAAATTTATTTTTTATTTTTTTAACTTTTAACATTGCATACATATCTTATTTTAACTACGCATAAGTATGTTTCAAATGAGTTTTTCCTTTACAAAATCTGTGACAACGCCATCAACATTTTTTCAAAAACACGAAAATCACTTTGGATAGGAGCAATATATTACTGATAATAAGAATGTTGTATTCCCAAATTTTGAATCATTCATTATTTTTTTTTAATCACCTGCAATCAATGCCTTTATAAGCAATTCTAAATAAATTATATATATTGTATAACATAACATTTTATTTTAAAATTCTTTGAGATGACGTCATCATGTTGGTGATGATTATATGCATATGCGAAATTTGACTACAATCCGTACTTTCGGAAATTGTCTGACTAATAAAAATCAGCACAGACAGGCAGCCAGACGGTAATGGGAGACCAAGTTTTCGTACTCTAGGGGTCATGAATCGTGAGAAAACATGAAACTGGCAAATCGCTCGTTGGACTCGATTACTATACTTCCTTAGTTTACGTTCGGGAAGTAAAAATATTTTGTTTTTGTAAAAACAAAGCTACTATATATTCTTATATTATATATCTATATTCTTAAGAAAATTTATTGCATTTGTAATTATAACATCCTTTGGGGCCAATTCCAAGTTGGCCAGTTGCGCCGGCGCAAGTCACTGGTGCAGCGCAACTTTGTAATGCTGATTTGGGTATCAAATGCTGGTTGCTAAGGGGTGACGGAATAAACAAACGCACTTGTGTTTCCATTGCAATTTGCACCATGGAGTTGCGGCACCTCTAGTAGGCAGTGCAAGTTGGCGCAATTTATCTCGAAAAATTACGGTCGTCTGTCAAGTTTTAGCGGGTGTTGCTGTTAATTTATGCAAAAATTCTAGTAAAGGTGAGGGTAAACGACGAAAAATTACCGAGAGAGCTAAGATGTCGTTGTATTAATGGAAATTTTGAACTTGAAAATTTACAATAACTATTGGCGCAAATCGGTGGCGCAAAGTTGTGAGTTGCGCCGGCCAACTTGGAATTGACCCCTTTATAGGTAATCTATCTACAACATAAAGATTTTTTTATTATTTTTTTGGGACTCTCGAAACTCCCGTATATAACGTAGTAAAGAGTTAATCCGCCATTTTCCAGACACGCGGTATATATCATTGTAATCATACTTTAACGGTCTCTCAAAACCCGAAAAAAAATACATATTGCAATTTAAAAAATATATGTTTGGGTCGCGACGCTGTCACCACCTATGCGTCATATTTGCAATGTACATACCTACTAAATTAAGTTTCCACCTGCAAGCTAAAAACAATGAGGTTTACAGAATTTCAATGTCTCTATCCGAAGTTATTAGGCCACGAAATTTTGGCTGAGACACCCTTTAGTTCTCAATTTGTAACGGAATCCCCACATGCACAAATAATAAACAAAAAATTTGCTATTATAACGCGTGTTCAATTGGAAAAGTCATTAAGTTAGCGTTGTTTTTTCTTTTATAGGTATAAGATAACATTAAAAACGCATTCCTTTTATTACTCCATACTACGAGACGTAATGATATTTGACCACGCTTATTTGACAAAGTTGTTGAAGCGTTAATTTTATTGATTTTATCATACCAAAAGTGAGGTTAGGTTGCATCATTTCGTGTTGCCAGCTGTTATTATCGATTAACTTTTAGGTTTATTACACTCATACTTCATAATCTTTACAAAAAATCAATGCCAACTTGATGCGTACAACAAGATAAGTCAGAAGTACCATCATAGCAACATAAAAGCATAAAAAATGAAACACACAGTATACCAAGGGATTGGTGGCGGAAGACTTAACATTTATCGCGGACTGTTGAAAAAAATTGCACATTTAGATCTAGAATTTATAACTATTTTTAAATATACAAGTGTATCTAAATTCCAGACCCAAGTTTTATTTATTTATCCTTCCTTACATATTTTTGTAAATTAGATCCTTTATGATAGGACTAAGAAGGATAGGGTTTAGTCATTAACAATTTTCCAAAAATTTCGATTTTTATAGAAAAATGTTCAATTCAAAAATTCACATCTCCACCATTTTTAAATATGGAGATTTAGAATGTTGCACAAATAATGTTACTTATGCATCTGAACACATGTGTAACAAGGCGTACACAGTTTAGAGTTACACGTGATCTGCAAATCATCAATTTCTCATTCCTGTCAATAAAACATTTGTATTTTACTTTTTCAAACTATTGTCTAATAAGAGATAAACTCAAAAATGGTAATATGAAAAAACTGACAATTCGTTACTCAATCGTTCTGTAGAAATAGGTTTAAATTATTTTTAACATTTTTAAATAAATATACTTAGTTTGTAAAACTGTGGAGGGTGTTAGTTATTTAATCATTATTTAATGGTGTGTTAATTCCAATTAAACAACCCTGAACATTTTACAATAATTCTTCCCTAAATTTTTCAGTGACTGATAGTTAAAACATCCTGTATCTATTTCATTTACCACATCTCCATTATCCAGTAGCCTAGATTTAGAAACCTTTATGCCAATTGTAGTCATTAAATTTATTATTTCAATGAAACCCTTCATTACTTAACATTAAATCAAGCTAGTTATTAGATATAGATATTAGTTTAACAAGGCTGGAAAATGCAGTTTTCCAAAAAAATTTCCAGACGTGTGAAACACAACATTTTGTGCGCCGACAATTTATTATGGTTATTTATTTTAACTTGTGTTTGAAATAAAAAACAAAAATCTTTTTAGGAAAATTTTATTATTTAGAAAGATTTGTAGTACTGCGCGATGTTCAAAGAATTTCACTTTTGCTGAAAACTTACAAAAATAGGAGAGTAGACGCAAATTCAATTAATCAATTAATGCTTGACCCGCCTTGTCCTTGTCCAAATTTTATTTTAGTTTTTCCTTTAGCATAATAATGCACTCTCATATTCCCAAAGATATTTTCGGAGGTCAATAATTAGCACACAACCCCACAACGACCTAAACAGCACACTAAACAGTTCCACTTGCAAATTCCAAACACATTTGACACAAAACAGACAATGATGCAGTGATGCCAACCGGCAAAATAAACCTAACTATTTTAAATGTCACGTTTGATTGTCTAGACTTCCAAAAGATGATTTTCTTAACCGCAATTGAGTAAGACAAACGCTATGAAAAATAACGGAGGCGCACAAAATTTATTTTGTGCTAAACATATCCCTAAAAAGAAATTTAGGTTTCTCAAACAAACGTCGAATGTGGGTTTCAGCTACGGTTACTTTGCATAAATATTTACCATAATTAAACAAATAAATAAATCATAAAAAAATACCATCACATTACATATTTTTTCTGCGACGTATGAATGGAAAATAGGTTAGTTTTGTTACATCGAGACATATTTGTGTTAAATCTAAATAATAAAATTTAAAATGTTTAAATCGGATATTGCTCCGTAACTCGCACTGGCGTAGAAGAACATGAATGTATTTTCATGGTGTGTATTTTCGCGTAAAATGTTTTGCGACGCTTTCTTTATTGGTAAAATAAACTTTATATATAACCAAGTTATCTAAATATTTTCCCCGAGGAAGTAAAACACATTTTAATGTTCACAACTTTGGAATATGAAGTGTAGCGCTAGGAACAACAACAAACTCTATAAATCAATATTGTTGTTTGAAATAAACAAAGAAGTTTGAATACATACAACGTACATACATTTTCTAAGAGAAATTTATGAAATAACGTTAAAATTATAGTAATAAAACAGTAACATTTTATTTGGAAGTATTAAAATAACCACTGACTAACGTATCACACTTATCAAATATGCAAATAAAGCACGACAATGTTACAAACATTCCACCCTAGAATTTCCAAATCCATATTTCACATTAATGGCTGAAGTAACACGACACTTTGAAAAACAAACTTTGCGGGGGTCGACCACTAACAGAGACAATAATTAATCAAATGTCTAACTCGCCTTAAGTGCTTGTAAAGACGGCTTGTAATTGGATAAAACCAGGTTAAACAAAGAACACTGCTAACAATGAAACGACAAGATTTACCAAGATATCTCTCCTAAAACTGTACCAATACTAAAAAACCAAATTAAACTCAAACATGTCTGCCCAACAACGCTTATATTACACCTAATCTTCGTAAGTGGCAATGTTACAACTTTTGTTATAGCCGAGATTTTATGAAACACCAACTGGTCAAATAAAAAACCACATAAAGTTTTAACAACTTTCGGTGCTTTGAAGAAGTTTAATTAAAATCACATCTAACATCCCCACTAAAACCCTAGTCGTGTTCTTGAATTTTACGAAACTCATACAAACTCTTCCTGTTTCAGGAGTCGACTACATGCATCCAGATTTAAAGTACAACTACGTAAGTATAAAACACGCATAAAACGTGAGGTCATTCCGATTTTACTTTTTAGAATGCGAAAGCCAGCTACGATTTCAGCAGTAATGATCCTTTTCCTTATCCTCGCTATACAGACGACTGGTTTAACAGGTGACTTACTTTACGAACGTTTTATACTTTATTTTATTTGAAAACGATACGATTTTTATTTGACGCCCTGAAGGAAGTCAGACGTCCATCAGGCTCAGTCCAATCGCTTTTCATGCCGCTATTTCATTTGCATTATGCAAATTTTTCTGATGAATGTGGACTCGACATAAAATCGATTTAGTGTTACGACAAGAACAATAATGTGCACTTCAGCTATATTGCCTGTTTAATGTTTGCTTTACATAATCAGAAACGGATTTGATGCGCCACAAAATGGATCGACGTTTTAAATTGTTAAATCCAGCCGATTTAAAACGAACATCAAGACGACCCACGCTTCGTCTTTCATTTTCACTTCTAAAGAAACAGAAGAGCGCAAATATAATCACTCAAATTTTTCTTAAAGAGGTTTTAGCCGTCTCAGCGGCGATTATGAGGCAATCAAGAACGTATAAAGAAGATACAACGTAATGAAACCGAGTTTAGATTTGTTGTTGGATTATTCAACCATCGCATTCACGATTTTCACACCATTTAAAATTTTTACGCTTTCTTTGGAATTGTTAATCACTATAGCTGTAATCGAAACTTATAATACAAACAATAAATGTTTACAACATGGAACATCTAGTCTCATCATCTGTAAACTATAAAAGTCCAATTAAATAAAATAAAAACTACCATATCGAACTCAAGCATATCTCGTCTGTTTTTAATAAAAGGTAAATAAACACTCGATATATCAGCTATCTCTGAATAAACATCAAAAATTTCTAATATATCTCCTAGTCTCAGTTTTTCTTTTTGAAATATAAATAGTAATTTAAATATGTATGAGATGAGATTCGCTTCAAGTTTCCTCACCAATTAAAAGTGCAATATTCAGTCAGAAAGTTCTTTGGAAGCTGAAGAACTTTCCTGAAAACTATGAATTATAAACCTGTATTTACTAACAATCGGAAAGTATATCATGTATTGTAAGACAGTTCGCTAAGAAAGTTTACTGATTTTATTTTTATTATTATTCATCGACTTTAGTCTAGTATTTCCATGGTTCAATCTTGTAAATTATTACTTATTAAAAACACCAACTGGTAATAGTCGTGCTTTTATGCCACATTTATGAGCAGTACGTTATTTATTCATTGTTACAATTTTTAATTGAAAACGAATTCTGAATTCAAAATTGTGACGTGTAACAGCAACAGTAACAATATCTTACCAAAAATTAATTATAATGAGTGGACATTTAATTTCAAAACTAAATATTGTTCAAACCGTTCTGCTGCAATTCATGATACATTCACTTTAGCTGAAAGTATTTCATTAAAATTATTGATTTCGACATTTTTCTCATTTTGTGATACAATCAATATATCGACATAAATCACTCGCCCATAAATTACCCTAATTATGGCCACCAAGTAGACACAAGCTTGATATGTTATGAAAACAATAATTTAAAAAAATAGCTTTAATTAAGTCCACACCAACTTGTTTCGACTCTTGTGACATTTTCACCATCAACTACAAAAAAATATCAGAATTAAAAAAAAATTATTAAAATAAAAACCAATCTAAATATAAATAATAATATCTGCAAGAGATTTCAAACTTTTTTAAATTTAACATTATTTTGTCAATAGAGTAAAATTTATAAGAACAAAATAATAGCTAAAACAAACCAATGTTTGGATTTTTTGCGAGCGTAGCACACGTATCAATATCAGTATGATACATTTTTAAACCACACTGTTACTTTGAAGTGAGACTTTCTTAACAAAACTTTGCGACTTCACGGGCGAACAGATTTTGCATAAAGACGCCTTTTTTCCTTATTTAGCAAGATATATCGATAATAAGCACAGATTCGTGATCATTTTTGTAAAACTAACCATATATTTTTTCTTTAAATAAGTATCTTGTGTTTTTAACGAAGAAAAATAAATTTTCTTTGAGGGATTTAACTAACGCTAATCTTTTGGATAAAGACGCCTTTTTCTTTCCTACGTGGCGATACATGACGAAAAGAAACTTAAATTCATGATATGTATTAAGAAAGTTTTGGATAAAAATTATTCATTTTCGGATCTATTTGACATTTTAAAATATTGCATTAAATGGAGGAGGCGCCGGGATAATAAATAAAACTATTTAATATACTTTAAATGGTTAAAAAAAAATTGATAACAGACTTTACATTATAGAAGGTGTCAAATGTATTTTTGAACACAATGAATTGTGCAAAAAATTATAAAACAAATACAAATTTGCACGAAGAAAAAATATTTCGAATGATTGAGTCGCCGGGACAATAGATAATTTTAAAAATATTTATTACAAAAGATTTATATGAGATTTATGTCTGAACTGCAGGCCATTTCTGCCTGTCTACTTCGTAGTATGAATCTTGGTCTTTAAGGGAAAAATTGGGGTAAAACTTGAGTGAGACTAAAGAATTGTTAAATTCTTTTAAATGTGAAGAACTTGAACATAATGACATGTAAATATGAAATATAAATATAAAACGCACCACCTTAAAGCTAGCCGCTTAATAAACAGGTAATACTAATAACCAATTAAACGCCAAATACAATCTTACTTTTTATTAAATGGTCAAAAGAATTGGCTTGAACTTTAGAACGAATCATTTATTTCCTTAAATATCTGGAACTCTGAACAAAATGACAAATTAAACACAATTTTGAAAGAAGGTAAATAAATTTTCTTCTAAGCCATTTTACAAATGTAATTTTTTTGCATAAAGCAGAGCCTTTTCTTCACTTTTGTGATAAAATATTATGAAAATGCGCACAGATCGTAATCTCGAGAAATTTTCTGATAAGGGTAATTTACTTTGAAGCGATGTGACCAATTCTATTATTAGGTTTTTATATAAACGTTGTGGTTCCAGGATAATCAATAATAACACGTCATTTTATATTCTAGAAGAAATAATATATTTCTTTAAGCATCTTGAATTTGAATAACAATACGATGATCTTTTGGATAAAAACTCCTTTTTTCTTCTCCCTTGTGACGACATAATTATGACGAAAATAAATCATACAAATTAATTACCACCTTTACAATGTTTAAAAAAAAATCAAAACCCTAATAAATCCTTTAAAAAAATCAGTTTGCCCTTTTGCAAAACAAAATACTAGGCAAAAATTATGTCACTGGCTCAGTTAGAGCAACCTTAATTTCTGCTAAGATTTTTGGTACAAATCTTATTCTGCTTTACATTATCTATTTTGGTATGGTCTGAATATGCTAATTTATGTAGATTTACTTGTCAACATGTTGCCATCAGTTTAATAATTACTGTATAAGAATTAAATTAAGCTGTGTATTAGATCTTTGTCGTGGAATTTTCTATCAAAGTAAAATTACATACATAATTTATTAAAATTTTTGCTTGTAGAGCCAGCCGAAATTATTAGAGATAGCTTGCATTTGACGTAAATATAAAATGCTACAATTACGTCTCAAAGAATATGTTCTTTACTGTTACAATCATATTTAGCAAATTCCTTTAAAATAAATGCAAGAAACTCAATTCCTGAAATAGTAGTGGCAATGTAATTTGCGATGTCTTGAAATTGGGGCTGAATGGCTTTGTCATTGTCTACTACTCGCATGGGAGAATAAAAAATCCGGATGTAACTAGAGGACGATTTTTTTATCACTATTTTTTTTAAACCATGAAAATTAAGTAAATTGCTATACCCACCCATTTTTCCCTCTATAAATAAGTATTTTTAAAAGATGTCAATGTAAAACTATTTCCCTTGAACTTATGTTTTATACATCTGTTTTATGATATTCTGTAGAATAAAAGCAATTTAAAGGATTTTTATAATGATACTTATTAAGTCTTTTAATATATTTGATTTGCTAATTCAGCAGCCAACTAACTTCAGAGAAAAACGCGTTCAAATGCGCTAATTAAAGAAATAAATAATTTTAATGACTTTGCAATTTCATTGGGTCAAATACAAACTTATACTCCTATAATATATCATTTTTCATATGTAAAAAGTGTTGTCTTAGAAGTAGAGTTAAAAGTTTACAATTACTTACATAACGATCAAATGTTTTTTTTTAACATTTTGAAGCATGTAAAATTGAAAAAATACACACTTGTGAAAATAATAACTTTGGTTCCTTTCACCAATTATTCGGTGTCCGATTTTAAATGTCAACCAGATTTTTTATTATTCTACAGGTAGTTGTCTATCTACGTATGTAGTAATATAAAAAAATTACTACTTAAGTGCTTGCACGAATTATAAGCCTCCACGTCTTCAAAGCAAAATTATCTCAACGTGATGCTGATAACTGCTTCGGACAACTAACAAATTTAAATTCACCACCGCTCATCTGCAATTCTATATCAAATACAAAAGCCATCAGTGCCATCACAAACAGAATAGAGCTATACAAAACTGCAACAACGGTGCAACCTAAATTCTAGACAGTGGTAATAAATTTACACTCAGCCCATTTCAGTAATTGAATTTTCAACGACGTCATAAATTGACCATTCGTTTCAACACTGCTTACAAAACTCCAATAAAATACACTCATGCTTGAAATTTTCTTATAGTTCGGTAAAGTGGCTGCAAGATAAGCAGTAAAATTTTCCAACTTTGAACATTATGTAAACACCCTGGAATAATAAAATAATGGAAGTGTGTGACAAACATCGACGTTGATGGAATTGTATCGTTTAGTTTTTAAATTTGCGTCCAATTTATCTGTTTGAAGACGACACGAAACGCACCTATTCCACGTACTAACTCCCATATAGTTTACAGTTAAGAGATATTCATATTCTTGCAAAAACGCCCTAATATAATCCATTTCAGTCACGGAACAAGATGTGCGGGAGAAGTAGCAGCTGCCAGGGATAATGGCATATGTGGTGTCGGTGTCGCCTACGACTCAAAAATAGCAGGTTAGTGGAATCGTGGAAATAGAAAATGTACGTTTTTCGCTCCCTGTGCGTCACGCTTTATTATCTAATTTTATCAAGCTTGCGTCCCGTTCTTATCCACTTGCTAGTTCCAGAACGTGAGATGTAATCTGATTTCGATCAACTAACAAGATTAAATCTTCTAGATTTTATTTTATGGTTGCTGCCATTCAAACTCAGTGTAAAGGATGGATTATCTTATTAAGTGAAGATTGCCGTAATAGTTCCATTTAAATGATTTAGAGCAGTCGATTTAAACTCGGCCCACAATTCTTCGGCGAAGGCTGATGTTCAAACTTAAATTCCCTTCTTTAATAGAACGATCCGCAATTTTAATTAATAGTTAAATCTGTTCCACATTTCACATTACAAAACTTAAAAACACATACGTAGAAAAGAAATAAATTATTTAAAACAATTCAACTATTTTATTTTTGAATATATTTTTTTTTTTTATGAATTCTAATGAAACTTTGGCCATTTTAACAAATTTGTCTTTTTGCTAACACCCTGATTCAGTAGTTTAAAACTGGAAATAAGTAATTTGTAAAATGTTATATGCAAATAGTTAATTTCGCGGGTGAATTTTGGTGGATGCGCCGGGTTTGTACGATGGAGCTTTAATTTTTATGTGGGTTTGCTTAATTTGAAAATAGTTTACTTCATCAAGTGGTTTTCAGTTATACTAATTTTTTCAATTATTTCATTTATTCTCTTTAAGTATTTTTTTATAAGACATATTTAAAAATAACTTTTAAACTTCTCGGAAATCTCAGCTCTACTTGAAATTGAGAAATCTATGTGGTAGAAAAATACACAATATACGCTATATTAAAACATAACATTAGACTTTATTTGGGATTTTCCTTAATCATATTTCATTCTCCCAATCTATGAACGTGAAAATATAAGCTAACCCTAGCTAATACACTTTTCTCACGGGGATTCCTGCGTGAGTTAAAATATTTTATAGCGTAATTCGGGCTAATTGGCTTTGTCGTAATTCCAGTTTAAACGAAGTTCGCTACCTTACTACGTTCTTTGACAAGTTGTCCTACATTTTAATATCTAGAAATTCAGACTTAGCGCGATATTAAGTACTTTTTGCTCCACTTTTTTTCACATAGAAATTATTTTAGTGAAATCGAAAATCGATTTTGTGAACAAAACTTCCTAAAATTACGTTTTAATAAAATCCATTTTTTTAACAACTCTTTTGGAGTTAAAGACTTGAAATTGAATACCTCTAGAATTTTTTTAGATGTTCGTTAAATACGTTATTCTACTATACACTGTGCCAGTTTGTAATTTATTCATTTTCGTTTTCCAAGCAAATTCGCATTTTTTCAGAATTCATGTTAAAGAGCTACAAGCAAAAATGCACTCCTTAAAATTGTGACAAACAATCTAAGGATAAACGAATAAAATATCAATAAATTTCTGTATATTATGCTATCCACAATCGGCTATAATTTATGAATTAGGAGTATTTTTTTATCAACAAATAAGTTTCCTTTTTTTACATTCAAATTAAAATTAAAACGATGAGCTTATTGCATCCAGTGTTAAATTAAGAATTGTATGTTGACCTTGCTAGATTTCCATAAATTGTACCTTATTAGTTATATTATTATCAGTTTATTAGTTTTACAGATAATTTACTAAAATTAATACCATCGTCTGAATCGATTTTGTTCATTACCATTATATATATAGCAACAATCTGAACAAAAGACATAAATAGATTTAAAGTTTTATAAACTTGTTGTATGATCTGATATTTCGTATTATCTTTTGAATTTATGAGAAAAATTCTGAAAACAAAAGTCTGTTTTGAGCGATTTTGAGGAGCATTACGGGAGACGAACCTACCAATTAATGGTAGTACCAAAATGAAAAACAGGGTGTACAGGAACAAAGCAAAAAGAGAAAGACTTGGCGAATTACATGTTTTTACTTAAAGAGTCCCCAAAGATTATTTCATATTCTGCAAAAACAAAACAACACTACGTGTTTTTTTTCAAACTCTCCCAAAAATAAAATCCTCGAAAATTTTTAAATCCTTTATAAAATGAAATACTTAATATAGGAGCTCCTCAAACTCTTTCACACTATAAAAAATCTGATTTTGCGAATTTGATTGTTTCACAGTATAAAGTATAGACACATAATATTTTGCATACTTTAGAACAAAATTTAGGGATGGTGTCATCAGGTTCCTGGAGGGAATAACCAGATAAATTCTGAGTAGCACTTTTATATTTTATAAATTAAGTTCTAACAATTCTTATAAAATTTTGATTTTTTTTTTCCAAAAATCTAAGTACCTGAGGTTATAAAAACAGCAGATAATAAAGTATAGGACCATATTATTTTACTTCCCAAGCATAAGTGACAATTAAATTATCCCCTGCTATCCTATTTTTTTGAGTATGAAAAAATAGGTCTCCCGTTTCCGTCATCTGTCTGTTGCCTGTCTGTCGTCTACGTCGATATTTATTAAACATTGCTGTCAAATTTCACATATGCATTTCGGAATATCGTATATATCGAAGATAATAAAACGCTAATCAAAATTTATATGAGCATCCCCACCAACAATGTAATGACCACCTCAAAATTGTCCCCGTTAAATGTTATTTAAGTTTTATAAAATAACATATTTGCGGTTGATGAAAAGGGCTTGATTTTTTACCCTAGAGCTCTAGATATAAAAAACATCAAAATGTAATGTAATATACTTATACTAACATTTGACAAATTAATTTCGAAACTGCAAAACCGTATGCGCTAAAATCTTGCAAGCGTTTTAAGTTTATCTAGAACATGGGAAATCGTTAGTCAAAATTTATTAGATTATTCTTTCCGAAAAAATTAATCATCTCAATATTGCCCAATAAATCCTATCGAAAATGTACCAAATATGACAAATCTATACTTGTGGTTTATCAAAACATTCATGTTTTTTAAAACTTTTTCTACAAAGTTACTCAACAAAATTCATAAAGAAAACAATTTATTTCACTGATTAAATCAAAATCAACTCACCTCATTTTCCAGAAAATTTGGGAATATAGTGCTAGTATTATGTTATTAGTAAGTATTACACTACACTTATCGAAATATGGATGTTTTCCTAAAATGTTGACTACGTCATTACGAATTTTGTTCGGAAAAACTTCCCTGAAACATATGGAAGGCATACTTCTTTACCAGTACTCTAACAGTTTACACATATCTATATTTTAACTAACAAGGGTTAAATAAATAAAATTTTCAAATTAAATTTTATAATTTTTCGAAAAAGCTGACTATTTGTTCGACTGTACTTTAAAAGCATCCCTCGCTTAAACTCTCTAAACAACCTTAGATCAATTTTTGTTAATTGATATAAAAACGAAAACGAATCAAATTTTGACGCAAAATCTTTTTTTGATCAATATCAGTCAGATCTACTTGTAATTTTCTTAGAATAATCTTATTAACAATGCAGTCAGAGTTGATGTTGTTAAAAAAAAAATATTCGATTCCTACATTACTGATAAACTGAGAAGTCTGCCACTCAGAAAAAGTGATTTAGAGAAAAGTGTATTAAACTAGTCAGTTTTGTTTTCACATTCTGTCACCAGTGCGTAAATTAACTTAAAATTGCATGACATACTGTACATTAAAGTTTTAATAGAATATAATTTTGATACAGGAAAAGGCATAATATATGAAAATTCAACTGAGCAAATCCTTTGTATGTATATATATACAACATCGTTTAGTTTATTATTGAATTTCCTTTATTCAGCACTGCCCGCGAGCAACCTAATTATGCATTCTGCTTTATACTGGTCAAAGTTTTTGACTAAACAATAACCTTTTATCTTAATATGTTCACTACACATTTAGTTACTAAAGTGACAGTCCTATTTACCACATGTCAATTTTATTGAATGGATCGACCTGTCGATAAACTACACTGGCAAACTTAACATATGACGTCATCAAAACCCATACAAAAACCAACAGCAATAACAGATATCACTTCCACCGCCATCTTAGTTTTCCGCAACTGACGCAAAGCACCAAATTTTTATTCACTTTAACCTTCACCTCTGCATAATCAAATTAGAATCTCCCACACTCCCATTACCGCCGGTTCCCATTCCTTAAAAATCTCCTCGAGTGCTTAGATTTTAAGAGCGGAATTTCCCGTCATAGCTGTTGAATAATGCAACATTATAGACTTGTCTTTCTCCCAAAGGCATTCGAATGCTTGATCAACCCTACATGACTGATTTAATCGAGGCCAATTCGATGGGCCACGAGCCGGGCTTGATCGACATATATAGCGCCTCCTGGGGGCCGACCGACGATGGGAAGACTGTAGATGGACCAAGAAACGCCACGATGAGGGCCATCGTCAGGGGCGTGAATGAGGTAATATGACGGCGGGAAATTGCCGATATATAGTTCAAGAGTTCTTCCCTAAGGGACGTAGTGGCTTGGGAAACATTTACGTATGGGCAAGTGGCGACGGAGGAGAGGATGATGACTGCAATTGCGATGGGTACGCTGCCAGTATGTGGACCATTAGCATAAATAGTGCCATCAACGATGGACAGAATGCGCATTACGACGAGAGCTGCTCCTCGACGCTTGCTTCCACATTTAGTAATGGGGCGAAGGATCCCAACACGGGCGTCGTAAGTTTTGCATGCGGAAGACTTTATGTACGCTTAGTGTTAAGATTGTATCGCTTTATCTTTGGTAAAACGACCAAAGTTTTTAATGAAATGGATGGATTGTTGGTGTTTTGAGGAATCTTGTCATTAGTCTGTAAAAATTACTTTTTAAATAATATGTTTCCTCACTGACAGACCAAACAAGTGAGCTACAATGGCTGTAATTCATTTTAGTATGAAATTACTTTAGGAGTACCACGAGGATCAAGCCTCACTCTTTTGCTGTTTCTTATTTTTATAACTGACTTTTCTTCGGTGGTATATAATTATGAAGAACGCAATTTGGCAAAAAAAATGTTTTACCCAGACAGTCAATTCAAATCTAAGAAACAAGCTAGCCATCAATTATTATTAACGAAAATGTAAAATTATTATTTTAATTACACCATGTTAACAAAAGTTAACTAGAACCGACCACATTAAGAATGTAGGTATTTATTTTGATGTAAATTATAATTAAGGTCTCAATTTCCAGAATGATTCAGAATTACTGCATGACTATCAGGCTTTATAAAGTGTAACACTAGCAGATCTTTTGAATTTACACCTACCTGTAGGAAACTGCATATAGTATTTGTGTTATATAAAATGAAATATGACTCATAAATAATTTGATGTCCTTTTTATGACTGACATTAATCAGTTTTACAAGAGGTGCAGAAGTTTTAAAGCACTTGTGGTATAAAGTGCACAAATCGTAGTTCTAACCATGTTATTTTATTAAATACTTTTATCTTTTAATTAAGAAAATGAATGATTCTACGAAATTTTTACTCAATTAAACGATCTGCAGAGGTGTAAAAAAAACTTTGTCCAAAAATGATTTAAACAAATGATAAATGATAAATTATGAAATTGGATTCTCTGATTTTTTTTTTTTGTTTACCATCACATAAGCAATGTCACACTTGCTTTCAATTTTTTTTTTTCATGTAAGTGCCTCTAAATACGCTGTTCGCCAGGTCAAGAAACTATCGAACCTGTACTGAAAAATTCAACAACAAAACCAAAAATAAACAGCTAAAAGCTCACAAATTTATTATGTTCACGCTGTTTTGTGTAATGATTTTTGCCTACGTTTTTGCTAAAATTAGCTTGTTTTAATTGTTATAATCTCCACACTAAAAATTTCTCGGTCATTTGCAAAATTAATATTGAAAAATCATTTGTTGTTGGGGATACACAACACATAAATCCTAATAATTTGGTTTTTCGGCCAGTCACCATTTGCACTATTTGAACTCTATTTTTAAATATATTTTGAGAAGAATAATATTTTATTGTTTATTTTACAATAAATTTTGGCACAAACGTTAAGTAAAAAAAAGTTTTTTAATGCTGCTTAACTTTTAAGACAGTTATAATATTCTTTATTGAAGAATAATATACAGTGTGTTATTGAAAGGTACGTACAAAATAAAATCGGCAATTGGTCTCGAAGTATGGGTGCTAAAAACACAAAAAAAAGTTCAGGTTAAAGTGTTCTCCTTTTAGAGATAAAAATGATTAAAATTTATGTCCAAATTCGTTGTACGCCTCTGATAAAGAGATCATTTTTCGTTTCTGTAGCAATATTTACTCTTGACAAAAGTTTTATTGTTGCAGTTGCTAGGATTTACTTAAATAAATTAATTTTACCTATTTATCCTTCAGTAGCGTCTAAAAAGGTTGGATAAGGGTTAATTTTCCCCTTATAATTTTGATAACACAAAATAAGACTTCTTAGACTTCGGGAATAACTGTCAATTTAGTTGTACGTACCTTTCAATAACACCCTGTAGATGCTCACGTTTAAGTAATTTGTACATGGAGTATATTAAACATCTACCTTTTTTTAATAAAGTACATATTGTAGCTTTGCGACTGATTTGTGTATAATCGAGTGTATAATTTCCATACCACGTGTTTGAGAATATGTATATCTATATTTGAATATACGGGGAACATTCAAATTATAAAATTTATTAATTTTGTTTATAAGAATGGAAATAAACTGAAAGGCGCGGGTATTTATTTGAATTAATTAAAATAAATGGCAGCGTCTTTGGCTAACAAAACTTTCTTGGCGGCGACTGAACTTTGAAGATTGTTAGCATTAAAATTGACAAATTTGAAATCCTCAAAATATCTATGTTGTTCAACTATTTATACGAGGTTAAAACTTTTGTTCATAAAGGATTTAGCGGTTCAATCGAATCGATACTGGAATAATCTAAAATATTCTTAAATTGATTCGCCATTTTCATTGTTGTGCACATGTTTCAGTAGAATTTCTAGTATTCACCTCAAAAGTTAAAATTTTAAAGGGTTTTTCTGCACTGGCTGTGCTTCTTTTCATAGGAAAAGATATAATAATATTAATAATAATAATATTAATATTTTTAATACTCAATTTTGACAAGGTAAGCTTTATTAACAACCACTTTATTTAATCTAACACAAATATTAACAACATTTTTGTTTGAAAGAATTATTCGTTAGTATTTGCAAAAGCTTTCTCTGCACACGTTATTATGTCGTATTACTCATCTTCCAAATAAACAACTCGCTATTTTTTTGAATAAAGGGTATTTTTATATTTACATGTTGACAACGCGCTCATTATTATTTGGATAACTCTGGTTCGCTTTTCATTCAGTCTGTTGTGAATGAAAGTGAATACATTTTTCTTGAATGTAAAAGCTGTATAAAGCAAACAAAACGGTGGAACCGAACCATTGACATATTTATTTTTGCACAATTTTAAGAAACAAAACAACAACAAAACAGTAAAAAACTGAAAGCGATTAAAAGTTTTGAGCTATTTTCCCACAAAAACTTTTTTTATTTTTCTTATATTTTTACTTCCCAAGCATAAGCTAAGGAACTACTGTAAACGAGACCATCGGGCGACTGGTTGCTTTCATATTTTCTCGATGCGTCATGACCCCTAGAGTACGTCCATCCGTCCATCCGTCCATACGTCCATGATGATTTTTGTTAAACAGATAATCTCCAAAACTACTGGACCGATTGTTGCCAAATTTTATATGTGTATTATGAATATCATGTAGATGGTAAAACGCTACTTTATCTAATCATCCCCAAGAACAATGTGATGACGTCACCCCAAAATTGTACATAGTAAGTGCGTTTTAAGTTGTGTAAAATAACATAGTCCTAGACATGTAGTTTATGAATCCATGTCCAGATTTTACCCGAAACGTCAACATTTTTGGAAAAAAAATTCAAAATTATATAACATTTTGTAATTTAATTTTGAATGTGCAAAACCGAATGCTTTGAAACCTTGCAGATGTTTTAAAGTTATCATAAGCATGGTAAATTTTTAATCAAAACATATTTGCTTATCCCTTCCAAAAAATTTAGGACGTCACCTCAAAATTCTGTTGAATACATCCTAAATGTGCAAAATATTAATTAATATTATTTATTTCAATTAATAAATTAGGGACTGCAAAACCGAATGCTTTGAAATCTTGCAGACATTTTAAAGTTATTGTAAGCATGGTAAATTTTTAATGACAATATATCTGTGTATTCGTCCCAAAAAATTGATTACGCATTTCAAAAGTTTGCTTAATAAATTCTACCTAAAATGTGCAAAATATCATGAGTTTTTAATTGTGATTTATCATTACATTCTTATTTATTAAATTTGCTTATACAGGTGGCTTAACAACGTCAAGGTATGAATCAGTTTATTTTATTGATTAAATTAGGAATGGCTCACTCCATTTTCCCGAAAATTTGTAAACACAATACTGTTAATATTAGTACTACATTGCACCAACCCAAGTTGCAAAATGAGGCTTTATAAATTTTCGCATATGTTGGATATATTTCAATTTACTTCAGGGGTCAGGGAAGTTTTGTCGAAACAACGTTCGACCAATTTCTTGAAATAGTCAGCATTTAAAAAAAAATCAAAAGAGTTTATTGTTTAATTGTTACGATAAATTTATCGTAAATTTTAGTTTAATTTTTTTTAGTACCGCACATACGTAAAGTTAAGATTTAAAAATAATAATCAATATTAAACCGCAGACTATAACTAAAGCAATTTGGCATGGAGCACATTTCAGATGATACCTACTTAAAAATTTTGAGAATAATTTTTACAAGGAATGAAGGGACAAAAATTTACTGCAAAACACTATTTTTGTGTACCAATAAAATACACAAGCAAAAAAGATAGAACAAAGTAAAATTTTAAACTGAGTTAGGTAAATGTTTTTCTAAAATTTTGCAAAAATTTGTGTTTTTTTTATGTGCAAATACTTATAGAATAACAAAAAATATATGGAATATAAAATAACAAGATACAGCAACTATCAAGCAATCATTACAAAATATATATTATAAAAAAAAAATGTAAATTGTATACATGTATTTCAACTCAAATTAATCAAAATTCAAGATCATACAACTAATTAACTTTTGAACATCGTCATAGAGCTAGTAAAGTTCTGTCAATTCAGAATACAACTTCTCATTTTAAATATAAGTTTTTTTTATAGATTATCTCGAAAATCCTATGATACCATACATATACTGTCCAATAAGAGAACAGAATTCAGTACGGTTACAACAGTGATGCAAAATTTTCCTGGATATTTTGTTCCCTTACAAAAAGCGAAATTAAGAAGTGAATTTTTTTTTAACCAATCGAAATCGAAAGTTGCATTTTTTATTATGCATCATGAGTACAGAAATATTAATTGCATATTAAAATAAAACACACAATTATTATAACTAATAATTTGTTGGATAATGCTAATACTTTTATTGCATCTTGATGCATTAATTTGAATGAAATTGTCTAAATGGAGATAGTCTAACTGTGGTCTGGGTCGTATAAGTGAGTTTCTTACCGAATATGCCTGCTTGCAATGATTGATTCTTTGAAATTTTTTCTCATGCAATCCAATAAAGAAATTAGGCCCTGGTGTTGCACTCGAGCTAATTAATACATCATTGGAATGCATTTGACAAAATCTCCGGAAACAATCACTGTAGTTGGGAGATTATAAGTGAAAAGCACTTCTACAATATTGCTAAAATTTTGGAAATATTTGATTAGCATAGCATACATGGAACATTTCAAAATCAATACATTTATCCTTATCAAAAATATTGACGTCATTGCAACAACTGTTACAACAAAATCTGATATTTAATGCGCTTCAAGTAAAGGAATTTTCGTACAAATAACCGAATAGATTTTTTCGTGCAAAGCAAGGACTTTAACTCAGACATGTAAACATTTCTCTTCAACTTTTATTTAAATAAAAAAGTATTACAAAAAACCAAAAAATTGCAATTCTGAAGGACTAAAATTAGACATTCATAAACAAATTTAATAATTTCCATTAGGCACCCGTTTTGGAATCAAACAAATCGGTTCGAATGCAAATCTTGTAAAAATTAGACCGACTCGTTCCGACATTTCCGTCCGGTTAGCTTTCTGAATTTTTATCGAATTTAGCTAACATTGGATGGCTTATTACATTTTTCGTTCATTAAAACTAAGCAAATGCACAAATTTCAAGAGAGCCATTTCTCGAATTTGCACAATCATCTCATCACCCCCAACCGCGCCACTTCTCATCTTCCAAATGTACTTTTTTGCGAAATAAAAACTAACTTCTTGAAAAAAATTCCATCATAAGACGGAAGTGGCAATATTTCACCCACGACGCTCCAGCAGCCCTAGCAAATTATCTTTAACTCGTCCGCAAAAAAAATAATTCTGCTTTTCTCCCGACAGGCAACGACGGATTTATACGGCAAGTGTACGACAACACACTCTGGAACATCAGCAGCTGCCCCGGAGGCGGCAGGTGTTTTCGCGCTAGCGTTAGAGGCAAAGTAAGTCTGCAAAGCAAAATACAGCCGTGCGAGTTTAATTGAGCGTAGCTTTGTCCTAATTAAAAGATTTAACGAAATAAACAAGCTACAGCCGCTGGTAATCATTTAATCAGGGAACTTGTTTTTCAGCAACAATTTAACGTGGAGGGACGTACAGCATTTGACAGTATTGACCTCGAAGAGGAATTCCCTGTTCGATGCAAAAGGGCGCTTCCACTGGACCATGAACGGAGTTGGGTTGGAGTTTAACCACCTTTTTGGGTTTGGAGTTCTGGATGCTGGTGCCATGGTGGCTCTTGCCAAGCAGTGGAAGACTGTGCCGCCGCGGTTTCACTGTGAAGCGGGGTCTGTTACAGAAGTTCAGTAAGTATCAAGGGGTTGTTTGCGATGCTGAGTGTTTTGGATTGGGGGAAGTGAACGGAATTGCAAACTTGGTTAATTATCTGGATGAGAGTGGCAAACAGTGTAAGATCTTACCGGAAAGGTCAAACATGACCGTCTGGAATAAAGGGGGATGTATTGAACAGTAGGTTCATAACCTTAAGGGTATCATAGACAAACAAGAGCATTCTCGGATCTGGTTGCAAAGTCAAACTTTCGTAACTTGAAAAAATGTTCATTGCCTTAATAAATTTACGAGAATGGTATTACAAATTTCAATTGCGCACTGCAAACTTATGGTTTAGCTGCGTTAATACAAAGATAAGATTACTCAAAGTCAAAGGCAATCGAGACAAAACAGTATTCTATCTACCTAAGTTTGGATTCCACCACGACAAAATCAACTTTTTTTTTTTGGAAAATTGCTCAAAATTGTACAGTGCGGAATTACTTGATAAACCGACTCAAGTTTTTTCCTTGTTATTCTAATACGTATGCCATGTATACATTTCCAAGCGAATCCTGTAAATAGTTTCAATTTTTCTCACGATATTAGAATTTTCAGAAATCGTCATTATCATTAGCAATACCATGAGTACGGTAAAATTTCCTCGAGAAACTGTAAAAATTCACTTACTACTTATTCACAAACCCACCTCTACACATTTGCAACTTAAAAGTTTCTTTACCCAATTTTTAAGAAAGAGCAAAGAAGCACGAACAAAAACGGCCAAGGATTTTTGTAAGTTTGTTTACATACATATAGTTACATTTTTAAGTCAAACTTTCAAATTGACGATAATCCGACGAGATGAATATTGTGGGAAAGATAAATTTTCAAAAATCCAAACTAAACAAATACAGATGATTCAAAGTAGTGCACTAACTCAACGGTACGTTATGAAGTTCACAAGTCAAAATTCGAGAAAAATTATTAAAAAATCCCTTTATTAGTTTCACGTTCACTTTCAAAAACAAAATATCGATAATTTAAAAAATTGATCCAAAGTTATTTAAACAGAACTTCCCTCGCTCCTAAAGTATAGTCGAACAAATACAGCTTCTTTGAAAAATTATAAAATTTAATTTTGCAAGCCACCACTGGCTCGTGACCTTTTGAAATGAGGGGACACAATTTGATTCATGAGTTAAATATGAAGATATAAAACAGGCTGTTATTTGTACAGAACTTCCCTCGCCCATAAAGTACAGTACATCAAATTTAGTTGTTTTGAAAACTGAAAAGATTTGATTTCGCGAATATTATTTTTTATGACAATTATAAGTTAAATAAATATATATAATAATGTTCAAGTAAGAGTAAAGAAACGTGCTATACGATTTTTTTCACGTGAGTTTTCCATTACAAAATTTTGCGATGACGTCATCAACATTTTTCCAAGGACACGTATATCAGTTTGGATAGATGTAGTGTAATACTAAAAATAAAAGTACTGTATTCCCAAATTTTCGAGAAAATGAATTGGGTCGTTTTGAATATTGATTTTTGATTTATAATCAATAAAATAACGATACAGTTTACTCACATGTGCCGCGTGTATTAGCAGAGACGACCGAAAATCATTTATGTATAAGCATTCTTAATTTAAGACAACAAGCGATAAACGTGAGAGTGAAACAGAGAAACTTCAAACAATACCTATGGTCGTCCAGACTTTTTTATTGCTTCGACTTTCGCTTGTTATATAAAATATTGAATTTTATTTTAATTTTTGATGGTGTAATTCACAATTGGTTGATTCTAACTTGTCTATACTACATTCACAGAACCTAGTCAGCGCAACAAAACAAATGTACGTCTGCAATATTAAAGTAAATGTAAACAAGGGTGCTACGCCTGTGTTTCAAACGAGTTTTTACTTCACAAAATTTTGTGTTGTATCTCCAAATTTTCGAGAAAATGGAGTGAGCTACTCCTGATTTAATCAATAAAATAAATTGACTCATTCATTACTTTTTTTGAGCCACCTTTTTAAGCAAATGTAAAAAATTGGTCGAAAGTTGTTTCGACAGAACTTCCCTGAAGTACAATGAAGCAAATTCAGCATTTTCGAGTTGAGTTTTTGCCTTACACAATTTTGTGATGACGTCATCAACATTTTTGCAAGGACACATATATCAACTTGGATTGGTGCAGGGTAATATTAAAAATAACAGTGTTGTATTCTAAAAATTTTCCGGGAAAACGGAGTCAATGAAATGAATTGACTCATTCGTTAATTTTTTTTCAGACACCCCGTATAAACAAATCTAAAAAATATTAATGCAGTGATAAATCACAACATCATACTTTGCACATTTAAGATAGCATTTTTTCAGCAAAATTTTGAGGTGACGTAATCAATTTTTTAGGGGGGAAGAGCAAATACATTTTGACTAAAAATTTATCATGATTATGATAACTTTAAAACAAATCCAAGATTTCAAAGCATTCGGTTTTGTTATTCCTGATTAAATCAATGAAATAAATTCACGCATTCATTAATTTTTTTGAGTCACCCTGTATATGCGAATTCAAAAAAAAATGAATGGAATGATAAATCACAAGTACAGAATCATCATATTTTGTACATTTTAGATAGGATTTATTCGGCAAACTTTTGAGCTGACGTCATCAATTTTTTGGAGGGAATAAGTAAATATATTTTTATTAAAGTTTGATCATGGTTATCATAATTGTAAACCATCTGCAAGATTTCAAAGCATTTGATTTTGTAGATTTCAAATTAAATGTCAAAATGTTGTTTCCTAATTTTGATTTTTTTTTCCAAAAATCTGGACGTTTCGGGTAAAATCTCAATTCGGAGTCATAAACTACATTCATGTGTAAGACTATGTTATTTGATACAATTCAAAACCCAATTAATATGTACAATTTTGAAATGACGTCATCACATTAGTGGTGGGGATGATTGGACAAATTTTGGTTAGCGTTTTACCACCTACATTATATGCCTAATATAAATACAAAATTTGACAACAATCGGCGTAGTCCTTTCGGAGATTATCTGTCTAATAAAAATCCGGGAAGGCAGACAGACGGACAGACAGACGGACGGACGGATAGACGAACAGACGGATAGACGAACAGACAGACGGAAACGGGAGACCTATTTCTTTGTCCTCTAGGGGTCATGATGGGTTGAGAAAATGCAAAAGTAAAGAGTCAGCCGACGGACTCGATTACAATACTCCCTTTGCTTACACTCGGGAAGTAAAACTATGAGTACATCATATTTTTTTTTTCATATTCTATCCACAAGCATAGAATCATAATATTTTGCATACTTTAGGTAGGATTTATTTGGCAAAATTTTGAGAAGACGTCATCGATTTTTTGGGAGGGGATAAACGGATAAACATTGGTTCAAAATTTACCAGACCCACGATAACCTTAAAAAGTTTGCAAAATTTTAGAGCACAATGGTTTTGTAGTTTCAAAGTTACATTGCAAAATGTTGCTACATAAAATATATTATTTTGATATTTTTTCCATAAATGTGAATGTCTGTTATAAAAATTCAGCACGGATTCATAAAGTACAAGTGTGTACGTTGTACAATTATTGTTAATAATTTAAATAATATTTATTTTATTATATTATAATATTATATTAAATTTAAAGAAAACAGTCTGGGAATTTCAAGACAAAATATTTTGTTACGAAATTTTTAGCGGAGATTTAACTGATCACCTTGTATAGCTTAGATTTAAAAGACAACGCCAACTAAAATCAACATTCGACCAAATAGTGTATTTGATATTTTAAGAAAATTAGATTAGCATGGATTTTTAAGATCTTTATTCAACCTGTTTAGACGGAGTGTAAAATACAAACATTTTATTTCTCACCAATATTATTTTTATTATTTATGCGTGGCAGTAGATATTGTAAAGTGCCAGAAGCTGTTATTTGTCGACGACTAAATAAATATGTTCTAATCGAATGGCGTATCTTTTCACGTAAGTTGATATGATCCAGTATTCTTGTTGTATACTTGTATAATATCTTATTTATTAATCAAAGATATATCTGTAACTTTTGATTAAAAATTTAACTTCAGGATGACGTTTTAAATAATGTTGTAAAATGGTATAAGATGTTTAGTTATAGTTATAGCAATTAGTAGGTACGGTCTTAAAACACTGATGAATTTATTATGTTATTCTTTAATCAGAACTTGGCTTGAATAAGCTGCACTTATTTGGAATCTCATGTACATCAAACTGACGTGGTTAAATTTTTTTTAATCCTGCAAGAGGATCCGACCACCAATTACTTTTATACAATTTATTAAATACTTAATAAGACAGATTGTTGTTTTCCATTAAATTAAATTATTAGTACAGTTCCTCGTTTTAATTCAAAACAATATTTATTGTTTTATGCAAAGGCATCTAAAACTATGATAATATTGTATTAGTTAGATTTGAATTTGTTGTTACCAGTGTTAATTTTATTGCACACTTATTTTGATTTTCTGATATCTTTCCTGTAATTGGATGAAACCTGTTGGAAACAAATTAAATTATTATTACTACTTTTATAACTCAAAGAGCTTTTATTAGACTTGCCAAAAAATAACTAAGTATTTTACAGATTGAACGAAATATTAATCTCTAAAACTCCTAAAACTTTGTCAAAACCATGAGCAAAGAAGGATATGAATTCCAAGCAAAACTGTTGCATAACCAAATTAATTTGTAAATGCGAGATGAACAAAATAAAAAGATCCTAAACAATTTAAAATTACTGCTAGAAATGCTTTTAAAACGGTAAGACAAAAATGAAAACTATAAAAGAGCATTCTTAAGAGTTATCATTATCAAGCACTAAGCTGTATGAGAGTCTTAAAATCCCCTTTCTAGATTCCCACTTGGACTTTTGTCCTTCGAATCTTTGTGACATGAGTGATGAATGAGCATAGAAAACGGCTTCATCAAGACATGGTTACCGTCGAAAGACGCCACTAACAGAACGGAATAACGAAATACTCGCCGGTTTCTGCCTGATATTGATATTGAAAGCAGGAATTTCCACAAACCAATTAAACAGAAAATGAATAAAGAAACATAGTAATTATAGAAATGCAGTAGTGTATAATAGTGCTACGCTGCGTATAATCTTATATTACCATTTTAAGTTTTTTTTCCTAAAATTTGCTGCGCTAGGGTAAATTTATTTTTAACACTGTAATTAGAACTACAACAAAAGTTATATATGTGGATAGTCTACCATCTGGCTGCTTCAAGTGTATATCAGAACAACGTTCACGAGTTCCAAAACTTGTTAGATACCTACAATGTGAGTAGATTTTTTCCTCACATTCTTGACATTTCCTATATAGCTATAGATGGTTTATTTTTTGGGAATATTCACATAACAGTATTATAAAACAAAATCTACAATGACGAGAAAAAATAGTCTGTCAAACTTTCTTTTAAATCTCAACAAATTATAATAAAGTAAAAGTCTATTGCTACGTCTTGCCTGTTGAATTGTCGCAGCATACCGCTTTGTAGCACCAAATCCTCAAGACAAATTAAGATTTGTAAGAACACTTGAAAAACTCAATAACTCATCGTCCTGCAAAACAATTTCTTTAATGCGATTAATGAATTGTATCGATTGAAACAAAAATCAACTTGCAAGCTTTCGGATAAAATCAATGCTTGCTTTTTATGTTCAAATAAATCTCCTTTTTTAATTTTTTTATTGAAGTGAGAATCAACAAGATAAGTAAACACATAATATCTGCAATTATTTTTATATAAACTGACATAATTTGTGGAAAAACTTTAACTTGTAGACAAATACAACTGTTTTGCTAAACTTTCCAAAACCATGTTCATTACAACTTATTAAAAAGCTCACAGGAAAACTGTAAATTAGACCATCAAGGTAACGCTGTTAACTATTCCCAAAAAAATATTGTCTGCGTCAGAGCACAACTGCTTTGCAAATCCAATGTAATTCAATCACAAATCAATCCTTTCTTTTGTTCCGAAAGGAGATAAAGTTTCCATCCAATTCGTTCAATTCGAAATGACATTTCGTCGAGAGAATTAGGTATTCCGTTCTTTTAGGATTACGATCTCGCTTTTTGTTTCTTTTTTCTCGGTAAATTTAAACTAAAATCGATTCTCAATAAAAGAGTATGCCTATTTGGTGGGAACGTCGAAATCTCCACAACTTATTCCGCGTTCTTATTAAATTTTAGTTTTATGTGTTTAGTTATTTAAATAACAAAACTTTTAAGTTGTTGAGGAAACAGTTCACTACCTGTTAAGCAAGTTTTGTAATGAGCGTTTTAAATGCAAATTTGGCTCGCATCTTTAATTACAATGTCTATTTTGTATGACGTACACAAGTGGAAGTTTTACCCAAGGGAAATGTCTTGTTCACACTGTATTATTTAAAACATTCTTAATTTACATATTTATATCGCAAACATGCGCAACCGCGTGTATAATGTGAAAACTGGTTTGGAAATTATTTTAGTAATTAAATAGTATATTACCTATTAATATTTGAGGGATAACGCTTTTTATGATAGCTCTTGCTTGTTTATGACATCATTACCTTTTAGACTGTGGCATCACATACACACCTTTTTTTAATGGAATGATAAACATTTTTGATCAGGGTGAATTTTGATCTTCGTAATTTGTTAACTAATAATATACGATAATATTTCTGGAGAAATAGGCTTTTTGAAACATTTTGCAAAGCAAGGGACACCAAATTCTTCAAAATATTATTTATTAAATATTTTATTATAACTAAATATTATTATAAGTTCGCAAACTGTTTAAGTTAATTAAATAACTGCTGAGAACAATTAAGTTTGCAAGTAAATTCTGTATTTAAGATTGATTATAGTACATCCTAAGAAAGTATGCGGTATTTATCGACTTGCTACAACTCTCTAAATTTTAAATTTGATTCTAAAATGGTGTTCCGTTAAACTAGAACCAACCTTGTTCCAGTCATAACCGCTTATAAGCGAGTTCCTCACTGAACAAGCTTTAATAAAATTGATGTCTACATTGTTATAACATGAGTGGGTAAACTGCTTTCGTGCAGCAAACGATGCTATTGAATTTTTCCTTAAACAAAAAATAATAGGAAATAACATGCAATGTTAAGCAGATTTTACATATTAGAATAATTTATTTTTTGATTTTACTAATTAAATTAAATAAAAATATGAATTGCTCAAATTAAGTAACAGCTTTTTAAGTATATCGAAATTTTCCGTTGGGGCATGGTTCAAATCCGATTAATTAGTCACGTGATTAGTTGCCTTGATTTAACTATACTTCTGTAAGTTCTTTTCCCAAACTTAAATTTTACCTAATAAAAAGTAACAACTCTTGGTTCGAATGATCACTTTTCTGATTTTTTATTTGTACGGAAAACATGAGATTGCCTCCAATCTAAGCGATATTCTTAGAATATTTCTAAAATTTCACAATAAGACCAGTAGTTTGCAAATTACCTGTCTAATAAAATTATCAAAAACACAGAGACAGATGAAAACGAAGTACCTACTTTTCTGATTCTAGGAGTTATGAAACGCCAAGAAAACATTAAATTAGCCCTAACTTATGCTCAGTATGTAAAAAGTCTTAAAATATTCCTGCGTCAACCATCAGAAGGAAAGAACATTACAGAAAAACATAGAATCGCAGTAAAAATGTCACTTATTTTGTGGTATACACTCGACTGCATATCCAGTAATAGAGCAGTTTTGAAATTTTATACATCTTTTTTTTTATTTGATTACGTTCCCCTACAGGCCGGTGGCCCAATTACAGGGGAACGGGGGACATACACAACACCCAGAGCCGGGCGGGAATCGAACCCACGACCCAAAGTGTAGCGGGCAAACAGGAAGCTACCTAACCCACCCGGGTCCTCATAACAATAGCACAAGAATTTCTAACATGGTGATTATGTCACCTTGTACTATGTGAAAAAGTTTTACACATTCTGCATAGGCATTCAGGTGGACATACTCTTTTCGAAGTTTTTGATTTTTTTATTGCAGCTATTACTGACATCCATTATTTACAGAAAAATCCCGTCATCTAAAGCTCTCATTATGAAAATTACGACCAACGCATGCCAAGACGAAAGCACCGAAGTGCGTTACCTGGAACACGTACAGGCTGTCCTCACGGTGAATGCAAGTCGACGTGGAGATCTGGAACTATTTTTGACGTCACCGATGGGCACAAGATCCATGATTTTGAGTAGACGACAAAATGACGACGACTCGAGGGACGGTTTTACAAAGTGGCCTTTCATGACGACCCATACATGGGGAGAGTATCCTCAAGGTACCTGGTTGCTCGAGGTAAACGCATTTTTGTTGGGAGTTATCACGATAATTTGTAATCGAGTCGTCAAATCCACACTATATTAGGTTTCTAATTGTTAAATTAAGTTGCAACTGATTCGATTATACATTATCTTGATTAGAAGACAGTTTTTTAATAGTTTCGTGTTTTTTATGTGCAGGCAAGCTTCAACTCGCAGTTACCACAAACAGGATTTGTGAAAGAATGGTCTCTAATGCTCCATGGCACAAGAGATCCGCCGTACACAGAATTGTCAGTTTTAGATCCTCATTCTAAGCTCGCTATAGTTAAAAAGGCTCATGAAAATCGAATGAAAATGTAATTTCTGTGACTTTTATTTATTGATTTATTTAACTTTTTCGTTCGACATATGTATTTCTGAAGTTGTACGGTATTAAAACCTACATTCCATATTTGTTGAAATTTTATAAAGATCGATATATTTTTAAGTAGAATGTAGTGGTATACCAATATTAATAAATCCATCAATCTCTAACTGTACTGTAATATAAGCATGTGATTATACTTTAAATAAGTATATGATATCAACAAAATTATTGTATTTTATTTTTACAAATGTTGTACAATGACGATGACAAGAGCTTATATTTTGTATAGGTGATTATTAATTTATACATTATTTGTTACAGTGCAATATATCGACTCAGATAGATTTGTACAAAAGATGTAAATTGTTTTCAATATTATAAATAGGTAGGTAACATAAAGAGAACATTATTTTAAATTGTTATTTCGCTTGCTTCAGCTGGCTGACAACTGTAAATAAAATTAGAATTTAACCAATTTTCAATTATGGTTTGATTTAAAAATAAACTTTTATTTACTTTAAAAGCTTATTAATGAAATCATCTCACCTCAGTCAAAATTAATAATAAAAAGATCAGTAATAAGTTTAAAATACACAATTCAGCTCAAACTATATAATGACTGTAGTCGAACACACTACTCATAAGCAGCTTTCGGGATCCAAATATTAAAGCTGTCTTTGAATTTAAGTTTTATACTCAAAGTAGATTTTTTTAAACAATTACGTCAGCTCAAAAAATGTGTAACAAAATGATTACGGTTTTATGAAAAATTGGGAAAGTTTTGAAAGAAATGATATCGACAGCTTTCATTAACTTTTCATGCAGACAATGTAACACCATTCCCAGGATTATGAGTAAATTAGACAAGTTAGTAGTCTAATATGTGTAACTTTTTAATTCAGATTATTATGCCTAGTTTTCTTAGTCATTTTCCTATTTTCTATGCATTTTTTTTTTTCAACAAAAACCGGTATTTCTACCAAAACATCAAAGAACAACGTTGAATTTGACTTTTTACCCTGATTTTTAACCCCTTTTTCTAACTCAAATTTTCCCAAAAACATCAGTTTTTTAGAAAAATGAGTCGTTTTTCAATTTTAGTCATTGAAGTTTGTTGAGTTTGAAAAACAGCCCATTGAAGTCTTTTCGAAAACACAAAAAATTGAGAAAATGACCTGTTTTTAAGCCCATTTTATCTATTTAAACATCGATTTTTTATGGAAAATACTCTGTTTTTTGTGGCTTTTTTAAAAATGTGAGCCAGACGTAACAATTGAATCTGTGTTTTTTGTTAAAAATAATGCATAGAAAATAGGAAAGTGACTAAGAAAACTAGGTATAATAATCTGAGTTAAAAAACTACTTAGACTACTAAAATTGAAAATCAATTAGTTTTTCAAGTGCATATCAGATAAATAAAGAACTATCTAACTCACATTTTTGCTGAAATTTCAAAACAGCATTGAATTATAAAAATCAAAGAGCAAACAAACTGACGTGGAAGTTTTAAAAATCGAATTCCATAAAAATCTGAGTTGTCATAATCAATCTTTTATTTTTAAATTTATCAACAAACGACATTATTAGTCATTAGATTACGATGATGAAATTAATTATAATACTAACAAAAAACTTTGATAAATAAATGGATACTCAATCTAAGTCTTTGTACAAAATGGAAAACTGAAAAAACTTTACAAAATTATTATAGAAATAAGAATCATTCAGATGGGCATCATGCAACTTGTAAAGAATGTTGAGAATCTGCACTAAAAGAAATACAAGATTCAAGTATTTGTAGTAAATGTGATATTGAAAAAAGTAATGATAATTATTTTCAAACTAGAAAATTTAAATGTGGCAAACAAAATAATGTAAATAGGAAAATAACTAAGAAAACTAGGCATAATAATCTGAGTTAAAAAGTTACACATATTAGACTACTCAAGTTATTTTTGATTTAGTCAACAAAAACAAACCTCTTCATTAATTTTTTTGCGATATTCTCATAAAATAAAATAATGTTACCAAAACACATACAAACACAAGGCATATTTTTTAATAAAAAATTATTAGACTATTTTCCAACAACGTCATCAATGTTCTATGTGAAATACAGAGTGATTATTTTATCTGTTCACGCCTGAATAGGCAGCACATTTTACTTTCCATAAACGTCATCGTCTTAAAATTTTTATAAATAATAAATAACGTGTACATGGTACCTAATGATTGCGCCAAAATTATGACAAATTAATTCTAACAGTCAAATTATTCTCAACTTTTGCTAACAATGTTTTCGAATTCTAAAAAAACCGATATGCTTTTAACTTTGGGAAAATGTGACGGAAATTTCCATGCTGCCGTTCGTCTACATGCCAGACGATACAATTCTTTCTAACGGAACATTCAGAAGCCACGAAAAAAAAAATAAGAGAAATTGATCAATTTAAGAAAACCAAAATTAGACGTCTTACAATAACAACGTCAGGAAATGAAGCTGCCCTGATTGAAATTATAGAAGACAATCCTCATGTGAGTCAACGGCAGATCACAGAACAAACGCAGGTTAGTCAAAGCACGGTTTTTAACATCCTGAGGGCAAACCGATTTCACCCATGCCAATTTAGCCCTTCCATTTCAAAATGAAGATCATTCGCGCAGAGATGGTCATGGTGTCGTACAGACATTCATATAACACCCGAGATTTCTAATTAGACCACGTAGAAATTTTGAACGCAGTTAGCGCGGTGCAAAGAAAGATAAGACGGACGATTTGAGTACATATTATAGGATACCTATTTATTTATTTTATTTTATTTTATTTATATTTGTTTAAGGATCGAATAAATTACGTTCTATTTCCTTTAAATGTTGCCATTATTAGTTGCTTCACGTCTTTGTTGTCAATATGACATAGTGTGATTTTTGTGTCGCTGCATTTACTAACTATGATTGCTAATTTAAAAAGATTAATAGATTGATCAACGTTGCTTAAGATATGTATAATGTGTTGCCTAGCGAGTATAAAAATGTGGTTTTTTCGTCTGCATGCATAATGTATCTTTTCATCCTCACTAATTTGGTGATGTTTCCATTTTTTTTAAGTAAATTTGTCTTGAAATTCATATTGAAACATGCTGGTTTATTTGTTGTTTAACAATGTCGCATCTTAAAAATTGTAGAACAAATTAAGCTGCACTTTTTGTATTAAAATCTGCATTATCAACTTTTTTGAAATTTTGTCAACGCATCAGATTAGTTATTTAAAATGTATTGATTCATTTCCTTAAGAAAACTGATAATAATAATATTAATAGTAATAATAATAAGGTTTATTCTCCAACGGGACAAGTCCAATTACAAGAAAATATTGTCACGACTGAGGTGTTCTAAGGGGTTGGTAGAGCGGGGTAAAAAAGCCCAGTTCGTGAGTTTACGTTATTTCTATTGATAATAATTCAAATACAATAAAACTACTTACTGTTTTGTTGGGAGAAACATGTCACAGGTTCTTTTTCTTTCTCTTGCCACAACCCAACTGCCGTCCACCCGCTCTCGTCAACCCCACGAAGCCCTTGCAGTGTCAGCAACTATCCCTACTGTCGGTATGTGTCGACACTCCATGGCCTCGATGGAATCATATCGCGAGCAGGGTGTTTGGCAATCCCATCGTAACTAGGTTACATATTTTTGTGACTGTGACATATCTCCCCCCCTAGAGAACACTGGACCCCAGTGTTCCTTTAGTACAATCTAATCTTAAATACTAATAACAACAATATAAATATTCTAAGGGTAACAATAATTAAAGCAACCAAATCACAATGATGACAGTTTCCCTGGCCGACTTCTGACACATGGGAGTGGGTGACCCCTCGACCCTGAACACCCGTTCCCCTACGAGCTTATCTGAATTGTAGGTCCAATCGCACAGTCGTGGTGGTAATGCAGCGTGTTGAACAACAGCAGAATGAGCGAACGTACAGAAAATCCCAGTTTTCAGAATCGCGTTGCCAACGTGGACATCCCTTCCAGTGTTATTTCTGAGGCCGATACAGACATCATCGTCGGAGAAGAGGACGCCAGTACACACAATGTTTGAGGCATATCCTCCAACGGCTTTTAAGTCCAGAGAAGAGGTTATCCAGAAGATCACACTGCTGAGAGGCAATGAAGAGGCAATTGGACTTCTTAGTGCTTCGGTTCTGGAAGTTCCGGCACCATGAGACAGCTCGAGAGTACTGAGGTGCAGAGATCTCCGGGGATTACAGCCATCGACTGGTGTTCCCGCCTCCCTTTTGTGCTCGGTTGGATGTAGGGGCCAGGGAGCAACCATTAATCATGAAACAACATGAACCAAAATTATTACTGACTACCTACTAATGATTATCCTAACCCTGATAATTCTTACAATTTTAACTTCTTAACTTAATTATTATATTATCTAAGGAAGTACATTTATTTATTATTATTATTATTAATTAATTTTTTTTTTTCCATAGGTACATATATATGTTTTAATTGATCTCTTCACTTGAGATCGTAATTCTGATTTTCTCTATTAAGGGTCGAGTTAGAGAGATTTTGTAAAGTATTGTCAGACGTGTTGTTGGATTTGGGGTTGTTAAGTTTAGAAGGCGGATAGTTAGTGACCAATTATAGTTCATGGATTCCGACAGGTTATTGTAAGTATGTGGGTAGAGAATGGGTGTGAAGCGAATTAAAGACAAAGGATTTTAGCGTCCACCAGGCTGCAGGGATTATATGGTTAACGTACGATATTGGGGCATCTTATCTGAGCACGGGAACCCAACTTGTATGATTACTTCTCGCTCATAGTCAAGTGAATATTTAAAGGGAAGTTTGGGTTTCAGTGCTCCGAATAGATTATGGGACGAATGATCCTACCTTTTATTTTTGTTATGATTAATAAGTCTTCCTCAGTTCAGTGAGAATAACTCGGAGGCATGACATTTCTTTGGGCAGTGGTGACTAAGTTCCTCAATCAGTCGTTCCGTAGTAAAATTGGTCCGTGCAGCTTATCTTCCTCAAATCTGGGTAGAAAGTCCTAGTTGTTCAATTTGCTGCCAAAAATAGAGTGCCATACTCGATTCAGCAACTTTGCTAAAAAGAACAGTAATAAGTGCGGGTAATGTATTATTAGGATCGGGCCTCATAATTGAAAGTTCGCACGATTAGTGTCCCAAAAGCTCCAGCTGATACTTTGTCTTGTGCCTTCGTGTATGGGATAAGGGCAAACAGACACAGATGCACATACCTACGGAAACGAATATTAATATCTTTAATTCTTTTTTTTTTTTTCCTGGAATCCCCTACTTTATTCCTTTTAGTCGCCTTTTACGACACGCAGGTGCTACGGTTGAGGAATTCTTGTATACCCCCGTCAACAGGGTATATGTTTTTTCGAGCGTTCTTACTTTTCGTCGGATGTGCCGTTTCCCGTCCATGGATCGTTATACGGTAATATCCTCCCTACGTGTATGACTTCTTTTTTAGATC